ATATCATATTTACTTTAATTAGATTTACAGTTAAATTATTTCATCGTTTTCTCTTTATTTGACCTCAAAATATGTAAATTAAATTGGAGAGAACTAAATAATTCTTGTCATTATACAGATTAAAAATTAAATGAGTTTGTTTATTTTTATTTTTTTGTTTTTTATTTTTTTTTGTAATCAATGATAGAAACAACGTTTCCTTTTTTATTTTTTCATTAAATTACTTAATTCCGTTGTATTTTATCCTATACATGCCTTATTGATTCACTTTCATTTGTCTATGTTAAATAATGTCTATGATAATTATAAATTACTAAAGTGTTTAACATTATTGATGAATTTACCTTCTAGGTTTGTCAACATTTTTAGTTGATTAGCCAAAAAAATTTTCTATTCTGTTTATTTATTTGAATAGGAATTCTTGCTGATTGATATAATTTTCAAGGGAATGTACAAAATAACCCTTCTGATATGAGTTAACATATCGTCGCTAGTGACTGGTGTTTCCTGGAGTTCTAGTGAGAAGCCAAGACCAGTGGAGTTCAACCTGGTCTGTTGTGAGATAGTAACTCACTGAAGACAATGGTAGATGTGTCGCCCAATTTCGTGGATTAGTTAAAGTTAGACATTAACACCGTTGGATTTCGGCTCAGTGGTCTAATGGTTAAGTGCTGGCACGCGAGACTGATGGGTCCTGGGTTCGAATCCCGCAAGGCGAAGTCGTGGATGCGCACTGTCGAAGAGTCTTACATTGGGACGAAATGGCCGACTAGTGCTTCCAGGTTCCCGTGGTGGTCTAGCTTCAATTGACTTATGATCTCAAACATTGGAATTACTATAATATTCACAAAAAAACCCTTCTGAATTGTAGAAACGTAATGATGATGTAAATATTGATTATATATATATATATATATATATATATATATATATATATATATATATATATATATATATATATATATATATATGTAAATATATATATATATATATATATATATGTTTGATCTCCTGAGGTTGATTAATATTAAACAAAATGACCCATATGATAGTAAATAATAGGTGAATTCTATCTTAACGCTATGTTTTGGAGGTAAATTTTACTTGATATTATTAAATTATTATAATCTAGAGACTTTTTGATGAGAGCCTATCAAGAACTAAATTAAATCCTTTGTATTATGCTAAATATTGACTACATGTTATATATAGGCTCGATGGTTAGTACGAGAAATAATGTATGTTGCAGATTAATCCAATACAACATTTGACTTGTAGCCCAAAACTTCCAATCAAGTAGATAGTATGTTAGACTTCAATTATTTTATGCATGCTGAACTGTTGATTTCATTATTACAAATTTATTTCAATCTGATTAGTAAAATGCAAATATATCATCCTTACCGTTGGTATTCATACAGCTCTAGATTTTGATAAAAAGTCTGTTTAGATTGGTTCTACAACGATTATGATGAATGGGAGGAAACTACAGAATTGTGAGCCTCTAAATTCAACTACATATGAAACTATGCGTTTAATTTTAAAATTCGTGTATATAAAAAACATGCAATTAAATCTATAAGGGACATCTTCCAATACCAGTTAATCTTTTATTTAAAACTAAATATATCTATTCACAATACTTTCTTTACGTTTCTTTGTGAATTTTAATGTTTTATTTAAGTTAAATGGCTAATATCTCACAGAAACCATTGCTAATAAATTCATTCTCAGTTTATTATCCCATTAGTTGATTATTGAAATAAACGAAATAATAATAATATTAACCATAAAAGCGATGAATTTATTGACTCAAGGTCAGGGAAAAAACAACATTTGTAAAATAAGTTTCTTATCGTTCTTGGTTACATATTTCCCCTTTTCTTTTCATTAGACTATCTATTTTTTACTTCTTCATTATGGTTTATTGGAAAATTCATGGAATAAACTTTGTAATGTGAATTGGAAAATAAATTGACCATTTATAGATCAGAAGGAGATTTTTTGGAGATTTTAGTAAATTGATCGTAGAATTTATGAGTCAATTGGAGCTAGACCGCCATGAAATACCTGGAAGCACTGGACGGCCGTTTCATCCTAGTATGGGACTCCTTCGCAGTGCGCATCAACGATCCAGCTCACAGTATTCGAACTCAGGACCTATTAGTCTCGCGCATGAACGCCTAACCTCTAGACCACTGAGTTGAAATCCAATTATGTTAATGTCTAACTTTAACTAATCCATCAAATTGAGCGACACATCTACCATTTTCTTTAGTGAGTTACTATCTCACAACAGACCTGGTTGAACTCCACTGATCACAGCTTCTCACTAGAACTTCGGGAATCTTTTAGATCAATAAGATTTGATACTTACGGTAAAATAAATAAAATATTTATTGCACATCTTGAATAGGTCTAACTAAAATACATGCTAAAATAAACTGATGCATAATCATTATCTCCAGGCATTAATATGTAGGAGATGTAATACCTAATATTATTTTTATCCCTGTATTATATTTAAAAATAGATGAGCTGTTTACCTCTATCACTTCATCGAATAATAGTCTACTTTAAATGGCCTTTTACTGAATCTTTCTAAATATAAAACTGTTAACTTTGGCATAAAACAATAAAATAACTTGAATATCCTGTTAGAATTATACGAATTTTGATCTGTCTTCAAATTCTATGATTAAAACGATGTTGAATTTCATTTATCTTGGTGTATGCTTTTCTTCGGAACTCTGTTAATCTTTACATATTTCGTTAGGATTGAACACACATTTTTTTCAAAGTATTATATAACGATGCTATATGTTTTTAGGACTACCACACAATTGCTTTAACGATTTGTAAATTCCTGTATATTACATATTATTATTCTGTATTATTACCGAATATTTCTACGTGGACGTTTCGCGAAAAGATTTCCCTCTGTTGTATAGAGTATTGAAGACACTTAGAATGTGTAGTGAATCTTTTGATTTTATTGTGAATATATTTGTAAACGGATATATAAAAGGGTACAACCAAATGATAAATGTCACTTCATTAGACACACTCTATCCATCCATTTCCATCTTTCTCTTTTTATCGGAACATGATTCAGGTACATTGAGATTTATGCGCCTGAACAAAAGTATCGAAAAATAAGTAAAAATATCTACCTTAAGACGAAAAATTTGTAAGAACTATTCTAACCAACATCTCATTCACTTGAACATCAAAGATATTCATTATTTTAAATTTCTTTTTTTTCATATAGAATAAAAGTATACTCAGAATTCCACATTGTACCAAACATGTGATGCTGAGTAATGGGATTTGTATTATCATTATATTTTACTGTTCAACGTAATTTGGGGTATTCACAATTGATTGATTACTGGGTAGTGATCAATGTCATGTGTGTCATGTCCTTCTTAATACAGATTGAATCCCATCGACCAAGTTGCAATGTGGCCACTAGTCTAGGTGATTCGACATCGCGTGCACTATATTGAGATAAGATGATGATTGAAGGTAGTCAACGGTAAACACTGGACCCAGGTTTCGTGCTATTTGGAACTCATCAGCAAGGTGTACTTATAATCTTAAGGGAACTGATGCTCCCTGGGACAATTATGTTCATATTACTACCGACATGCTTAATGTTTGCAAACTCTGTTGTATTAGCTTCGTAGCCACTTTTCATTAATAACTAATGTTCAATGAAAAGGTAATAAGGACCAAGAAGTAGAAGATTCTACATGTATTCAATGACACGGTTACTATAGGTTAATGTCACACATTCTAGCTACTACCAATCTGAAGTGTAGAACGATTATGATGGGTAATCGTATGAGACCATACTTGTTGATTTTACGGAAGATATTATCCTATTAGAACTCTGAAATATCCATCTTAAGGTTGATCAACAGGGATTACTTTCACCCTCATATGCATTTTAAAAAATATTACTTCTTTACTCTGGTGATAGTCACATAAGTAAAATTAAATGATATGTTAACAATGTATTTCGTAAGCAATAAAGTGTTATTAAGGAATAAACAACTCGAAATAATAAAAGTCGGATGCTGTTTAATCCAGTGAACAAATCCCACGATATAATAAATGTTAACTTAGGCTTTTATATAAAGAACTCTGAGAATGTTTTAGACATGTGCAAATTTCAGGTTAATTATAGAATCAAAGACAATAATGATTACACTATTTTGCGCAAGATTATGTTTACAATCATCAGTTATTTCATCTCCACATAACATTGCGGTCACTGATCTTCAGGTCACACTCATATTAGTTTTGCTACCCGACAACAATAGATGTGTATAATTATAATTTCCGTTTCATTTGTATTTACATGAATTCTTATTGACAAATAAACTTGATAGTGATGAAAATCCAACTAAGCAAACATATCACCAGCTACTAATCAGTGACAATTCAGTTTGAGTATCACAACCGACCATGATATCAATCGGGGCTTAAATGACCATGTACTTACTTCTTTGAACATGATACTGGGAGATGCAATTTTGAATCCCATCTTAATTGATATTTCTCTCAAGACTACAAATGAATGAAACCTAATTCACCGTCTAGTTTTATGGCTTTCTATTGACTATTTTCAATAACTGAACATACAAAAATATATATTTCAATAATTCGTTTTAAAGATAATGAACATGGTAACCAGTTATCATGCTCAAATAAAATCACTCAAATCTCTTTATTTTATTAATTTTTTGTTCAACAAATGAAACTCAATCATGATAAATAAAAAATGATTAAAATTTAAAGCCTAAACTTTCAAATACAATTGATAATTATAAATTATTCTATGAATTTAACATTTAACCAATCAAAAATTTAGGTGTATGGACACATTGATCATTGATTGGTCAAATAATGAATTACTACTTATTTGATGAAAAAAATACGGAGAAAAAATCAACTTTTTTTCCGTTTTTTCACTTGTCATTCTAGTTTTACTCAGTAATAAGAATTTTTCTCATGCTTATTGTGCTTCTATAATTCAATGCTTTTGTATGGATAGAAAAATAAAACAATTATAAATGATTATAATTATATGAAACTTTAGATGTTGAACATCTTTAATAGATCCAATTCTTTGTTTATTGAATAATAAAAAAAATTATTTACATATTCTAAAGAAAAGAAAGCAAAAGTTTATAGAAATTAATTATATTCAATTATGGTAAGTCATGTTCTTGTATATTTTCTTGAATTTGTTTTACAAAAATAGATTGACTAAATTTTAGTAACTATTGTTTGTAACTGATTCATATTTGTTACTAACAGATTGTGAAGTGATTTATCTGACGTAGTCTAGTAAAATAAAGTTATTTATATCGAAATTTTTATCAAATTAGTTATAACTGATAGTTTGAATGTTGTATTGTACTGAAAAATATAATAGGATGGACATTCTACTTGGCAATAAATATCTGTTTTTGTAACATAGGTGATAAAAACTTACTATAATTAAAAAAATCAAGAAACTGGTTGGAAATATTATCAACGGTAAAAAGTTAGTACTTAGCGAATGACTGAACTTTCAATAAATTCAGTCGTCTAGAGAGCCAGTCTAAATTTTTAAGTAAAATGCTCCTAATAAATTTGATTTAAATATAATTAAACAATTCATTAACTGATCCCAAGCTTATAGTTTTAAATGATACTGTTTCTGTTTTTCTTGTGTCAGAATTTAATATTCTAGATTTTTATGTCTAATCTCATTGCAATACAGTATGATTCTTGTTTAGGGAAGACGCTAACTAACTTCAGAATGATATTTTATAGATTATACTGTGAAAATCTGATCTTTGGAATTATGTCAGAACAACTATAGAACAGTGACATTCCGTAATATCTCTGTCAAATTGCTAATTAACAGAAATTATAGTACATATACCATTAAATACAGACTTAGTTGATTAGTTCTACTGTTACTGATATAATATTTGAGGTTCATGTGTTCAAGATGTTCATCTTTGAAAAGGTTCATTTTAAGACTATTTAGCTATTTTTTCCTTCCCAGTTTTCCATTAGTATGAAAGAAATTAATTTTGCAAAAATCATAACATTTGATACTTATTGTAGTTTATGTCAATTTACTGTAAAAGATACATATTGCATTGTTTACTCGTTATTCTGCATACTTCATAATTCTTCGAATTATCTTTTTATACAAAGATACTGTTAAATCAAATCTATCAGTTAGAGATATTTTTCTTGAATATAACTGATAGATTTACAGCATATCACACACAATTGTATACTTTCAATTTACACAATACATAAGTAAACTTTTCAATGAATTATTTAGTTTTATTACTCTCTCAAATTATCATTCTATAAGCATTGAATTAATTGACCAAAATAAGTATCATTTATTTCTCAATTAATATAAATATATAAACATCGCAGAAACTGCAAATTTGTCTCTTCAAGTGTTTAATTATTCCACGGAAAAAACAGAGACACGAATCATTATAAGTAAAGATGGATAGTGGCTAGCAGTAGAATCAAGGACGCGATTTTCGTCCTATTTGGAACTCGTCAGTTGGATGTGCCTGCACACCACAGTTAATGTTAACTGAGACGAAACACATATCCTGTATCCCACTGTCAGCCACCATCCATCTTTCTTTATAACGTTTGTAGTTTAGCGGTAATATCGAGGTAATCCACACAGGATGCACATATACCAATATGAGACTGGTCATTTGCAGTCCTAAACATCAACGGGAAGATTTAAACAGACAATACAAAAATGAATTAGAAGCACGAATCGTTTGAATGATTACAATTCTACTAAAACAAACGATTGTATGACATTTATCTCAGTATTGATATTCATTGGATTTCAGATTATAATTCACAGCCATTTTTATCTGAGATATCTGTGTTACATAGATTAACTGTATTATAATGTCTATTAAACATTACCTTTTAAAACTACAAAATGATGCAAATTTTTATAATCATGTTTGTGTACAAGAAACTGAACACTTTTATAACAAAAATGCAGTTAACAAAACTGTTTTGTAATATAATTTGATTACTTACGGCTACCCAATAAAAGTAACATTTTGAACTTGTCACTTATAAGCTTATCAATCTTCACTGTTTTTATATGAGCGTATATGTGTGCATCTCGTGTCTTACTCACCACATGTCTGTAACGTATTTTTGTGTGACTATAAATATCGTCCCACTCACAATTAGATTGAGTTGGCTCGCACGCCTTCTTCACTGAGAGTCATTTTGCGTCGCCCTCTTCTCTTCACTTCCTTCTTCTCGTTCTTCTGATTGTTTATTCAGATCAATAAGTGTACAAAATATACGTACTCAAAAATTCATTCTTGTATTTGACTCATTTAATATCATTATTCACTAACGCGGATTAAGTCGATGATTATACATGAGGATTAGCGACATGTATACTTCAACAACGATAATCATACGATCTAAATGCAGTCAAATGTCGGGCCACTAAAATATAACTTAAACAATACGTGATATGTTTTAAAATTAAACTGAATACGTATCTGTGATCAGTTATTTCATTCATGATAATAAAAAATACAGAAATTTCATATGAATTAGACATGAGATAATTGAAAACAGTTGGCAAGACATAGTGATTTGTTCATAAGTTGTTGAATATAAATATGTATGAGTGTCTTTGATCAAGATTTTTCACCGTCAGTTTCACCCTATTAAACTTAGACTTATTCCGAATTAATAATTGAAAGCATTTAAAATAAACAGAATATAACAATTCTAGTATTTTCTATAAAACATCTAATAATGATTAATAGCTCTGGTGAAATGAATGCTTCATACACCAGAAAAACGTATTGAAAATATGATGAGTTTTTAATCTTTATAACAATGAGTATCCTATGATGTTATAATAAATTTATTGTTTATCCATTTTTATTTTCATAAATTACACTAATGATGGAATAATTAGTTAATAAAACTTTGATAAGACTAGAGATTCATTTTTATTAATACTCAAATTAGTCAATTGTTTGAGTATTTAAATCCATCTGAATTCCATAGAAAATAAAATGAATAACAAGATGTACTTTGATGATTTATTTTGTTTTATATTGATTTCATTCAATAAAATAATGTTAGAAATTCAATTCTATATCAATTTGCTCAAGATTGAAAATATTCATGGCTGACAAACGATAAATAGAATGAAATCTAGGTTTCCTGTTAGCTACTTCTAATCACCCCGAAAAATGCATTTTTATGTAGAATAGATGAGATGAAGCTAGCAGAGGAATCCGAAAGTCAGTTGAATATAAATACATTCCAGTATTGATATTCATATCAGGACTCCTATTCAGTACCATAAGACTCAAATAACCTCCGTGTCATCAAGCTGATGAGTGTCCAAATGGATGAAAGCCAGCTCTTGTGCTCTACTTCCAGCCACAATAAATCTGTTCTAAATCACTTATGCCGTAATTCCCTCACAAGAATCATATATTTCATATGAGAATGATTAAAATTCAGTCTTTAATATGAACAGGGTTACAAATCCAACTCTTCTTTATGATGTGATACAGACATATCTATCTAGCTGACCTAGAAAACTGTGCAACATTTACAATTAATCCACTGAATAAACATTAAGAGAATGATTTTATCCTTCTTTAGTTTATGAAGAAAATATAAGAAATACTATAGAGGAAAAAAAAACAAAATTTTTGCATACATTTATATATACATATATTTATGTATCTAAGTGAAAATTTGAAATTAAAGCATATAAAAGATAGATCAAAGTGACAATTCAAATAATAAAATGTGAGATTATGACTAAAGAAAATCTTAATCCAAATATGCAATAGTGAGAGAAATAAAGAAAAATTTTTAAAAAAAACAATTCTTTCTCTATCTAATTCATTTACTTACTTAATCGGTTTTAATTTTTTTTTTAAATTTATCATCTTATCTAAATTTTGTTTTGTTCAAAGCGCTCTTTATTATTATTACTATTATTATTAGATCTCTGAGCTGTAATTTTCAGGGGAGAAAAACATATCAAGTAGAATAATTTTTTCACATTTCATTTCATTGTTACTGATTCTTACTATAATGAAATTAAATCTAAAATGTTCCCACACATATTCAAACCGAGTTATAACTTGTGGCCTTGTGCCCTTATCAATATATGACGTAATGATACCGCAAATTAGAGAACAGTGATAATGAGTCTATAATTTATAAACAATGCTTGAGCGACACCTCAGTGACCTTGAGAGTGTCCACCTAATAACTATGACTGAATGGGAGTTATAAACCAGTGTGAGGAATTCAAATCATGATTTACAGTTGATGGTTAAGGCTAGGAATTAGATTTAAGGTTTTCATCACGAACTGACATCAGCTATAATTTCCAAAACTCTATTTAATCAAATGGATGAATGAATTTCGCATCAAACTCCGAAAGCTTTTATTTTATATTCGATTGTCTCGTTCATACATTATAGTTTCGCCACAGTGATTTATCGAGCCGACCGATGACTCATAAAACCCGTACGAGCGGTCTAGAGTCCTTGCCGGTCATTATTCTTGACTAGCCTTGCTTGTTGGAGTTCAGAACACCAATCTCAGCGTCCGTAATATGAATTATGTATAACAAACATACTGGGTTTATATAAAAACCAAAATAAGATTTATATAAAATCTAACCGAAATTGGCTGTGAATGTGAGAGACTGTATATAACAGACTGGGCGTAACTCAAGAACTGTAATACTATGGGTCAAAATAAATCTTTTAATAAGGGAAATATGAATATGGATAGTTTAGATACTCAATAATATATATAGCATTAGTCCATGAATGGATCCCAACAGTTACCGTTCAATATTCTCATTGATATATGACATTATTCAATGAAGAATATAAAATTAAATAATATTTTCAATGAAATATATCATGTGCAGACAAAATTTTACAAATTGTTTATCATATTTCATATTTCATTCCCCACTTTAAAAAAAATAAAATTAACTAAATCTTTTGTATTTTAAAAGATTCTGGTAATTAGTATCTTAGAGGTCAATTCAACATTCATTTGAATAAATCAATATTTTAAGAGATTTTCACTGGTTAGTGACTTGATACAAGAGATTGTGACAATTACTTGACATGTAACTTATTGTAA